TTTTTTGGCCGACGACGACGAGAGAATCAACGACAGCTAGCGCCAACAATTCTGTCCTTGCGAAAAACACCTCAAGGAGTTGAGTGTTTTGAGCTGAACTGAAGTAAGCCCGGTTCTTTACCAGCCACGAAAAACCATCAGGGTGGCCTCGGAATTTCTGAAGCTCGAAGATGAATCTGACGCTAAGATAATGTCCCTGACTCTGAATCTGGCCAACAACATACAGCTCAAAATGCCAAGGCTTTCAAAGCGAGGGAATCCTGAAAGCGGTCTTGTCGAGAATAATAATGATTTTGGCACAACGTCTGTATCACACGGCGATCAAAGTTTTTCGCAGCATTATTACAACGGCAATGTGCAAGTGCACAATTCTTCGGCTCCTATCCATGACTCGAACTTGATCGCTTTTCAAACTTTCTGACCAAGGTTATATCTCCTTAATTTGATAGACGTTCCTTGAATTCTACTTGATTGTAATTTCACTGAGCAAATTCGCTTGCTTCGCTTTCAAATTTTTCATTCAACTACTTTTACAAACGGCGCGCATGTCATGTGATTTCCCACTTGTTGTTGTTTTTGCCACATAGACTTCCGGTCGCTTTGTTAAATTAAAATCCAATGAAATTAAGCTATAATTTCCAAGTATACAAACGCACCGAATTTAATAAAACAATTATTCCATTCGCGCTTGTTGGATATGAGATTGGTTATAGCCAACTCGGCCCTACGGGCCTCGTTGGCTATTTACCATCTCATATCCAACGCGCTCATGGAATAATTGTTAATTACCCTAACTAAATAAAGTGTTTACTTACTTACTATACTCCACCCCAAATGGAATAGGCAACATCACTCATTACCTCCATACCAGAATATTAGATGGAGAAGCTGAGGCTTTGGGATTTTCTCGGCACATTATTACAAACACCAGGAGATCTTCCTTATTTTATCAAGAGAAACGAGAACTATTTGCATTCTAGTGAATTTAAGTTCGTGTTTATTTGTAGGGGGTAATGCAAATTGCAAATCGTTCCTTATATTTTACAAGTTAAAGAAAACAACGAACATTGAAAGCATTCTTGCAACCGTTTGTTTTGAAGTCTAAAATTAGCTCACCACCTTAATTTCAGATATCGTTATTTTTAGACAGAAGCGAGTGAATAGAAGTCTTTCTTGGTGAATAGAAGTCTTTGCAATTACGATTCATTTCAAAACTAAACAAACATAGAATCAATCCGTAATTTATGATATCTCTGGATTCATAATTCCTTGATGTGCTTTTGTATCTTATTCATCAGTCACACAAATTATTAAATTGTAAATTGACGATTACTTGAAAATACACCTAAAAACAAAGTTTTAACCGGAAATATCAACGTTTGCCAGTATAATTTTGATCAACTGGATATAAATATATCGCAGCCGCTTCTTTGAACGATAATTACGTGAGTTATTTTCCGTGTACATATGCGTGTACTTACCGGCGACGTCATTTGGTACTGAGCTGAAAATCCCAGTCTGTCAGATTGAGCTGATACGTGTTTCCTGACTTCAGATATCAACCGAGCAGTTGCGGAGCTGGCTATAGCAGCAGGATGCTCTGATTTATATACCCTTCCTTCAAGCAAAACAATACAGGCTTCTAGAACTCTCCCACAGTTGAACTGCATCTTCAATCCAGCTTAGAAAGCTTAATTACCGCTTGTTTTGATTGTTTGCCGTTTTCAATTGCAGCTAATTATGAAAGTGAGTATTACTTGTCAGTCTCTGATCCACTAGTTACGTTAACGACGAGGAACCAGAAAACCCCCAGAATCTGCAGACTGAATTTTATATTGCTATACATTGACTTTTCAATTGCTGTTTACGAAGATGTGGCAAATAATGATGTTTGCATTACATGTAACAAGATTCTTGAAACTTGTAAAAGAACGATATATTTCTGACTCCGACAGGAAGTGGAAGGGAAGGAAAACGGATTTAATACCAAGTAATCATCATGATCCCGGCTGCAACAAGAAGACCTATTCACGGATCAGGCAAAAACAGCTGATTTAACCAAGTTTCAGAAATTGTAACTCAATGTTAAAAACAGAATTGCTTGATTTCACCGCACAAAGTTTGCTTTTGAAAACATTTGTCAAGTCGAGTCAGTAGAACTTGGTAAGTAATCAAGTAATCATAACACATTGATAATGAGATATTTTGATCTCATTTTCTCATATAGGTGCACGCAAGTAAAAACATGACTTTCGAAGTAGAATCTGTACCCAACGTGATATTTTCGGACGGAAATGCAAACCGTACTGCGCCGCGAACATCAGGAAAAGAACTGCAGGTAAAACAAAGTTATATTGTTTAATATTAACCTATTGTGATGAAAAGTACCGCTTGAAACTACTATTTTTAGTATTACCAGCAGGGAGTTTACTCAAGTGGACAAAAAATAAACCTACTCAGTTACACATGCTGACAGAGTCAGTGATTCGATTTATCGCCTCACCAAGGTTGCATTTTTTTCATTTAGGGTCCGGCTTATTTGTGTATATATAAGAAGTTATTGTTCTTGTTCATAAAGGCAATATCAAATTATAATTTATTCCACCTGTCGAGCTTCCTTCATTCCTTTAGCTTTTAAGTTTCTCTCGAGTTCGCGATTAAACATCAGCTAACTCACACTTAGCCCACTTCAGTGGAGATTTCACCGTTCTTTTTTGCTACGAGTTTAACTGTATATTACAAAGGACCGGAGTTTGCATGCGTTCAACACAGGTCTTTGAAACTTGCCGTTAAAATTTTGATCAGGAATCGGAGAGATCATTTAAATGAACTTTCCTCATTTATGAAGAACAACTTAATACAAAAATTATATCAGATTTTTACCTTGTTACTCAGCTCGCACACTCAGCTCTTGACAGGCACTCATTTGTAAAATCAGTAGGCATTACGTTGCTGTGCCAACTCCAATCAAACAAGGTTGAGTTAACACAATATTGACCACTATTGCCAGCTCTTGGGGGTAATTTAGAAGCGCTGATGGTTGATCGGATTGATTATGACTTGTCAGTACAGATTTTGATCATGTTTTGCCATCCACGTGGGTCATCTAACAGGATAACAACATCAGAAACAAAAGCTTTTATTAGACTGCTCAATGACGTCATATATGCATTGAATAAACCTAAACAATGGCAACCTTCATACATACATACATCACCTTTATTTCACCTCAGATTTACAAGAGTAGCTGTATAGCTAACTTCTCCGAGAAAATGATAAATAAAGGAATAAATGAATAGATAAATAAATAAATAAAATAGTATTGATAATAAAAATAAAAAATAAAATCGCATATTATATATTGTACAATAAACTACTATTTACATAAGTAACAATTGCATAGCTGTTCGAAAGATATTTGGCATATTTTAGCTCTAAACTCATTCAAGGACGTTATTGACCTCAGGTCCTCTGTTAGGTTGTTCCGCATGTTTGCAGAAGTGTATCTGAAGGAATGAAGACCATAAGTGGTTGTGTTAACGTATGGGATAACAAGTTTCCTTGATCCTCGTAGGTTGCGTTCGGTATTTCTCATTTGAAAAAGACCACATATGTACTCCGGCATCGTTTCAAACTGGATTGCCTTAAAAACTGTTTTCATCATGTCTTGGCACCTGATATATACAGATCACTAGAATTTAACTTGCTCAGTAGCTCCTGGTAGTGCACAGACTTCTCGTCGAGAACATTCCTGAGCCCTTCCGACTCTGCTAACTTAGATAACTTTACTACGTCACGAATATGAGGTGACAGTCACATCACGTTGTTTGTTACAAATGATTTTCTCCTGATACCAAACAAAGGCACATCAAGCTCATGGAGGTTGTGCAAATTTATGTCGCCATCATATTTTTAACTAAAAGTGATCTCTTGTGTTCGCGGGGCTAATATAACTTGGTTCTTTATACCTCAGTCAACTTTGTTCAAAGAGAGAAATATATGATTAAAAACACTTCCAGATTACGAGTTCGAGATGTCTATGAGGTGATAGTTGATGAGGCCGAAGGCCGAATCAACTATCGCCTCATAGAAATCGAGAGCGAATAATCTAATTTTTTAAGTAGAATTCTAACTGAATTTTCCTACAAATAACGATTCCAACCATTTCTGGTCTTAGTATTAAACTTCACGCTGTAGAGAATTTGCGCGGACTGAATTGTCAATTTGACATTTACAGTTGTGTCCCCGCGCTTATCAGTTTCTGTAAAAACTTTCGAGCTTTTTAATTCAAGAAACCGTAAATGCCCTCTCTTTAGTCTTCTTAGGAATTTTGTTTCATTTGTTTCTAAATGTTCTTTCAAAACTTCGGAGAAACGAGGAAACGTTGCAATTTTTTCGACCACACCAAACCACTGAACACTAATGGCTATTAGTAGAACCCTAGTCGGTATACTAATGTTGCAATCTGATTTGCTGAGCTGTCGTTGTCAGATAGAAAAGCGTTTGAATTTTCTAGCATCAAGAGTAAAGAACTAAATCTGACTTTCGATAGTCGTAAACTATCAGCTGTAAGTGTGCGATGGCTGGAGGTTGTCCATATAATGGCGAGGTTTTCTCGTTTCTCCGATGTTTTGGAAGAAGATTTAGAAACTGGATAGTTCAATTTCCA